ACTTATGTGGTACTGAGGAATTGAACCCAGGGCCTCATGCATGCAAGGCAAGCACTCTACCACTGAGCCACCTTCCCAGCCCACACACTGCTTCTTTTTTGAACTCAAGGTTTCATGATAGCTGCACAGGTGCTCACTGCTTGAGTAGGAGACTGTATGTCCACATTGTGTCTGTTGATCTGCATTCTGACAGGGCTTTGATGACAACATAGAGAGGTATTAGTCATGGTTTCAGTTACAACTAAAATGTTTACCTGAGCCAGTGCCAGGGGATCACATCTATAATCCTAGCAGTTCAGGAGGCTGAGATCTGGAGATTTCATTCAAAGCCAGCCTGGGCAGGAAATTCTATGAGACTCCTATCTCCAATTAACCACCAGGAAACTGGACGTGACCCTGTGGCTCAGGTGGTAGAGCACTAGCTAGCCTTGAGCAGAAGAGCTCAGGGACAGCGCTCAGGCTCTGATTTCAAGCTCTAAACGGACAAAATATGGTATGCAGCTTTTTTTTAACTTAAATCCAACATCTTCCAGTCCAGACCACTGTTTTCACCTGTGAGTATGAAATATTAGCATTTTATTTAAACTCAGATTTTAAGGTTTATTCAAAACTTACTATATCTCTTTAGTTGACTTTTTGAATATTATGGAAATTTTGTCTCAGAATTTGGTTATATCTTTAGCTTTTTTCTCTAAAAATGATGTTCATCCATTTTTGATGTACTACTTATTGTCTTCTTTGAAATTAGACATATACTATGCTTCTAAGATACTGTCTAAATGTTGTTGCTGACTTCATGTTATAGTGTAGGAGTGAACAAATCTCATCATAACTTTTATAATGCCAGTACCTGAATTTGAGCTCAGAGCCTGGGCACTGACCTTGGGCTTTTATGCTCAAGGCTAGCATTCTACTATTCGAGCCACAGCTCAAATTCTAGCTTTTTGGTGATTAGAATAAGAGTCTCACAGATTTTCTAAATCATAATCCCCATATCTCAACTAGGATTATAGGCATGAGCCTCCCACTGGCCCCTAGAGACAGCATTCATTTTTAAATTAATAAGTAGTAAGTTAACCAGAAACTTTTATATGTTCCCCCCACAGATTGTGTCAGCCATAGGCCAACATGTTTCATTGTTAATCATCTCAGCAAAGCATTGCACCAAGCATTTACTCTTGGGCACAGGGTTCTAATGGTATCACCTGATCAACTTGAAGAACACAGGGATTGAGTTAGGAGTTTCTAGCACTCTAGTCAAGAGGAGATGGGTTTCAGAGACTGCTAACCCTAGATTCAACCGATCAGCACCACCTTGATTAAATGAACTGGTAGTAGATGACTGTCCTTTTGGTTTGAAATAGTTCTAGTGCTCCACTTTCAGGGTATCAACACAAAGAAGACTTTTCTCTTTCCTCTGAGGTGATCTACACAGCAATTTAGTAAATTGCACTTTTGTGGTGGTTCAGGGCCTTGACTCAAGACCTTGCGCTCTCCCTCAGCTTTTCTTCTCAAGGCTGATGCTCTACTACTTGAGCCTCACCACCACTTCTAGCTTTTTGCTGGTTACTTGATTTTTAGAGTCTCATGGAGTTTTCTGCCTGGGCTTTATTTGAACCCTAATCCTCAGATCTCAGATTACAGTCATGAAACACCAGTGCCCAGCAGAAGTGAAAAACTTTCATTGGGTCTTCTTGATTTTCATGGTAGTATGCTATTTGCAAAGGTTCCATCCCTCCACTTTTTTTTTTTTGTAAACCAGGACATATTTGGAAAAGTTATATAACCAAGAACTTACATGAAGTATTGTGTTAGACAAGGATGCCCATTTATCCAGATGTAACCAGCTCCTTTAAGGAACAAGGCTTCACTGTACAGAGCCAATACTAATAAAACACTCCTAAGAAAAGTGGCTTACTGGCTTCTCAGCCTTACAGGCACAGGAAGGTCACTCATTTTTGGCTGGCCCAGGAGCCTTAGCTTTGGGAGACTCTGCAGAAAAAGGAATTTGTCTTAAATTTATAGGTACAGCAGGTCAAACCTAGTGAAGATGGCTTCTTGGTATGGCTTCCTGACCTCACAACAATAAACAATAAAATGAAATGTTGTTTTTAAAGCCTAAGATTCCATATGAAAACTTCAGGCAAAGTGAGCATGGCCAGTCTGTTAATTACCACTCTCACTGTGCTGACGTAAATCATAAGATCAAATCTAATGAGATTAGCTTTATTTTATGCTTAAAAAATAATAATTTCCCTTCCCCCATGGTATAACCCCTGCTTTCACTGTAGTTGATGTTGGCATAATTTGTGGAGGGGACGGGAAAAAACAAATCATTTAAATAGGGATTCAGGTGGACCCATTGTAACAATGAGATGTACAAGTCGTTATGTCGAAAAAGAACTTTACAACTTTGGTGGGGGGGGGAGGAGGAGGATTGGGGGGGGCGAGGATGGGAAGGGATGGGAAGGGGAAACAAAGGAGGAGGCTCCAATGCTTGATAAGAAATGTATTCATTATCTTGCCCATGTGATTGTAACCCCTCTGTACAGTATTTTCACACTAAAAAAATAAAAAATAAAAGAAATAATAATCTCTAAAATAGATTGCTTTTGATCTTCAAGGGAGTCTTTAGAGAAAAAGAAAAGACTGTGTATTGTCTAGAGGACATCCCTCCAAGTTTTTTGAATCTAGCATTTCACTTATCCTGATTCTAACTTTTCATGCCCTTGAACTATTTCACAGTTCTTTGAAGTGGTAGCTAAGTGATAAGTCATGTAAAATCTGTCCATAAGTGCTATTTGCAATCGTTTGCCAGCCTAGCTTGTGGGAAAAACAGCGTGGCTTTATAATTCCTGAACTTGAAATGTGTATTTCTTTTGGATTCTGTTTTTGAATTGTGATAAAAGACACATGACAAAATATATCACTAGTCTTGAGCACAAAGTGCTCAGGGACGGCACTCAGACCCTGAGTTCAAGCCTCATGATAGACAAAAGAAAAGAAAAGAAAGAAAAGAAACTGTAAAATATGAAGATGGAGGTCCAGGCTGGCTAAGGCATAGATGAGTGATCTCAAAAATAACTAAAACAAAAAGGGTTGAGGATGTAGATCAAGTGGTTGAGTGCCTGCCTGGCAAGCACTAAAACCTTGAGTCCTATAAATAAATAACTTTATTTATAAATTTATTATTGTAAATTTATCAATGTTATTTTAAGTGTGTGCTCAGAGGCATTAAACACGTTTGCATTGTTTGCATTTGTCCTCACCATCTATCTCCAAACCTGTAAGCTGAAATGTCATGGATTTTTGAAAAATTTGTTATTAGCCAGGCGCCAGTGGCCCACACCTGTAATGCCAGCTACTTAGGAAGTTGAGATCTGAGGATCATGGTTCAAAGTCAGCCTGGGCAGGAAAGTCTGTGAGATTCTTACCTCCAATTAATGACCAGAAAACCAGAAGTGGTGCTGTGGCTCAAAGTGGAAGAGTGCTAGCCTTGAGCAGAAAAGCTCAGGGACAGCGCTTAGGCCCTGAGTTTAAGCCCCAAGACCAACAAAGAAAATAAAGTATTATTATTATAAAGGTGATGTTTTGAGGGGTTAGAGTTATGTAAGTTAGGTGAGCAGTACCTTTCTTTTTGGAAAATGTCGCCCCTTCCATTGTACTCTTCTGGTTTTTGGATCCTCTTTTTGATCTGACTCTAACCCCTTCTAGTCCTTCACTATGAGTGAAATACAGTTTTTCATGGTACCAGGGCTTGAACTCAGGGGCCTCATACACATCCAGCTTGTTTCCTCCCAGCTGATGCTCTAGCATTTGAGCCATACCTCCAGACTGGTTTTGTGTTGGTTAATTGGAGATAGAATCTTGGAGACTTTTCTACCTGGGCTGGCTTCAAATCTCCATGGACTTTTGGGTCTCAGCCTCCCAAGTTGCTGGGATTATAGGTGCGAGCTATTGGCACCTGACTGTTAAAATACAAATCTTCCAACACTTTTATTTTCATATTCTGATGAGACGTGATTTTATCTCTGAAAAAATAAAAATCTTTTTAACCATTCCAAACTCTGGCACCAAGTTAGTAACTAAATGAGTGAAGTGGGAAATGAAGAGTAATGTCACTAATACACTTAGCCTAAAGTCACCAAGTGCCCTGATTTGTCCAGGAACCAAGAGCGCTGAGAAAGAATTGTTTTGTTTCCTTTGGGGGGGGAGGGCACTGTTTGAACTCAGGGCCTTCGGCTCACTCGTGCTTTATACTATTTGAGCCATGTCTTCAGCCTGGAAACTTTAAGACAAACGGACCACAGCAATAGCACCTGCCTCATCTAAACAAGACTCCCAACTCTCACACGGTTACATCGTGTGTGTGTGTGTGTGTGTGTGTGCGTGTGTGCGTGTGTGTGCAGCCCCTCCCCAGGAGAAGCCAGGCATGGAGCTATTTTTAATTACTTGTAAATAATGGCAACGACTTATTGCAAACCCACGGGCAGCCCATGTAAACGGCTCCACACCGCCCTGAGAAAGAGTGGCTGAAACCTTTCCACCCACCCCAACCCACACGGGAGGACGGCTGCTGTGAAGGCGGGCTCGTCGGTTTCGGGGTGCCCACCGGTCTGTGAAGCCGCTGAGGCTCTGCTCTCCCCATCGCCCACGAACTGGAACCCCCAGGCCCACTGAGCTCCGAGCCCCCCAACAGATCAAACCAGAAGCCACAACTCCTCCAGCGCCCGCGGCTGGCTCGCTTCCCCAGCCAGACGGCTCAGGTGTGTGGAGGGGATCAGAAAGCCGAGGGGGGACCCCGTTGTGCGCAGGGTGTCTGGGGGTGAGGATGCCGGAGGCGTGAGGGCTCTAGCACCCGGGGGGTGGCGGGGGACGTGGAATTGGGGTCTGTGCTGCCAGAGCCCCGCGGGCGCGCGCGGCCCAGTCCGCTCCCCCAGGCCGCCCCGCTGTCCGTCCGTCCGTCCGTCCGTCCGCGCGCCCCGCCCGGCTCTGCTCACCAGCTGTCCCTGGAGAAAGCGCGCAGGAACCAGATGCCCGGAGCCAAGGAGGAGCGCATCTTGCCCGGCGGGTGCCCGCGGCTGGCGTCCCCGGCGCCGGCGTGTGTGTCGGG